AGGAAATGATTTGTGTTAATTTTGTTTGGATAAATAAAAATGAGGAAGGGGAGGGGAAGGGAAGAATTGTATTATTTTATGTTTGGATAGTTAAGGTAAAAGGAAAGGAAGGAAGGGAATGATTTAAATTAATTTTAAATTTACAAACTTACCCTTTAAACTTGTAATGGAGAAGTATATAATAAAAAAAATTAAGGTTAATTTTGTAATTACATTTAATTTAATGTAAACAGCCACTCAAATCCCTCTCAAACCCCCCAAATCGGGTGGATTGCAAATCTGCAGATTCGATGGGAGTTGGAGGGAGTCCGAATCAGTCCATCTCCCTCCCCCTCTGCCTCTTTAGAAACCCAAACAGGAGGAAGGAGACAGCTCCCCCTCACTCTCCCTCCCTTGCCATCCGTCCCCATCCCTTCACCTCCCTCTCTGTCCGACACCTCCAATCCAAACAATACCTTAGATTTTTTTGATACATTTGATAATGATGAGTTATACAAAAAAATAAATCCTCTATTTTTTTTAAATTTCTTCTTATTTAACTCAAAATTTGATTAAATTTAAAATCTTTAATTTAAAATTTCAAAATTTCAATTATTGAATCATTCTTTTGTAGCCTCTCTCTCATTCATTCCTCCATTTTTCCATTTCCCTCCGCATGGCATGGCATAGCATAGCACATATCCACGTGTCACAACTAATTTTCCTGACTTTTTTTCCTTCCCAAAACCTTTCCAAGAAAAATGGAGCTGAAAAACGAGAATCGCCAGCTTTTATCCAGAAATATTGCTTGCAGCAAATGATAGGCACTGTGACGATTGGCCGCATTACCAGGGACGGAGCCAGAAAAATCAATTAGGGGGGCAAAAATTAGTATTAAATTAAGATTTGGATTTTAAGAGTATCTTTTCTAATATTAATTTAAAAAAAAATTTATTTTTCTTATAAAAAGATTTACTTGCGATCTTTTTTTTATTGATATATTGTTAATTAGAAATGAATGTATTTATTATAATAAAAAATAAAATAGGGTAATAAATCATATAATGATCAATTGAAGAATAAATTAAAAAAGAGAAATGTGTTTTTGTTCATAAAATCTTTAAAAAATTAGGAGAAAAAATCACAAAATTATATTGTTTAAAAAAAGTGTAAATTTAAAGTTGATTAAATAAACAATCAAAGTTTTCTTTTTTAGGCTTTATAGAATATTAAGATTGAAAATAAAATACTAAAGAAAAGCATAAATTATTATATAGAATATTAAGAGAGAAAATAAAAAAAATGCTAAAGAACAGTGTAAATTCAAGGTTGATTAAATAAAAAATCAAAGTTTGCTTTTTGGGGTTTAATAGATAAGGAAATGTTTAAGAACTCCAAATTCCTAATTAATTAAATTCTCCTAAATTTCATTTTATTTAAATCATATCCTTATTTTTTGAAAATGTTTTATTTAGATCATAAATATTCTCTCCACGTTTAAAATGATCCTTAAAATCCATACCATAAAAACAAAATTTTAACAAATAAAATTAAGTTAGAGTACCATATTAATTATTTTTCAAAAGTTCAGGGGGGGCGGCTGCTCCCCCTTGTCCTTCATTGGCTCCGTCCCTGCGTATTACCATGGGTGGAATGTGCACAAAGGATACCGTTTCCACAACTCAAAATCCCCAGGGTGTTATACAAATGGGACTTGCTGGGAATCAAATTTGTTGAAAAATATTTTCCAGGTTTTTTTGGTTTGCCTTCTTAAAATCAAAAATTTTTGATGCTTCCATTTGCACTCAATAGCTGTTGATGAACTCAGAAAGGTATAAATTTATATGTTTAAAATACTAAAATTGTTTCTTTCCTTCATAAGCAGGGACGAGCCAATGAAGGACAAGGGGGGCAGCCGCCCCCCTAAACTTTTGAAAAATATTTAATATGGTACTTTAACTTTTATTTGTTAAAAATATTGTTTTTATAGTATAATTTTAAGGATCATTTTAAATGTAGAAAGAATATTTATGACCTAAATAAAAAGTTTTCAAAAAATAAGAATACGATTTAAATAAAATGAATTTTATGAGAATTTAATTAATTAGGAATTTAGGGTTCTTAAACATTTCCTTATCTATTAAGTCCCAAAAAAGAAAACTTTGATTCTTTATTTAATCAACTTTAAATTTACACTTTTCTTTAGTATTTTTTTTTTCTCTTAATATTCTATATAATAATTTACACTTTTCTCTAGTATTTTTTTATTTTCTCTCTTAATATTCTATATAATAATTTACACTTTTCTTT